AAAGAGGGAATTTCATACGTGCAGTACACCATATCGGCCAAACACGAAAGCAACTGCGAAGCTTCTGAAAGCTCCTCGATTCCGACAATCATTGCAACTATCGAGAATATGCAAGCGACCTGGCTGAGGCAGAACATGAAACCCTAAGACCAAGAAAGCAGCAGGGTTAGCCCGTTTTCTGAAGCGGGGTGTTTTTTTTTCCTTATCCGTTCTAACTGCTTCCGGAGGACTTACGATGATGCAGTTGTCGCATTGCGTTGTCTGAATGTTGAACTCATCTTGCAGAAGAAAACGGGTTGAAGCCACTGAGTTTCCAAAGCAGCAGAAGACCTGTATCGGTTTTCCACTCTTTAGAAGACATAAAAAGTTTCTAAAAAACAGGGAATTGGTTTATAGACCAGACAAAAACTGAGACTGTATGTCTTATCAGATGGATGGACAGATTCTTGCAGAGGAAGTGCTTATGTTTTGAAACTGGAAACGTATACCATGTAATAACAGTCTTATTACCTCCGTGGCAAGACAGAGTTCAGGGCATCGGCTTTCTCCGCACCTGCCACTACAGGGCATGTAGCCAGCACAGCATGTGTACCTGTGAAATGGAGAAGGCATACCCTTTTAACCAAAGAAGTCTACTAACAGGAATCTCATTTCAACAGGCTATTGAATGTGTGGATTTACCTCGACATGTCATTGTAAAGTGCACGCTTGCGGAGTAAATATGATGCACAAGGGCCACTGCAAAAGTGTTAGAGCATGGGATTGATTATAAAAACATGATAGGAGCACAGAAGATATGCCTATTATTTCTCGATGAAGTTCCATTCGTTGAACTTATGTCGAGAAATCCATACTGATTAACACTGTTTTAGGAAATCATTGAAACTAGAGGATCAAGAATTTCAACAGGGCATGCAGCATCTGAGAAGGAGTATAAACATGTTCGGTTCCTATATTCGTGGAGAAAAGGATCAGTCCCTTTGCCTCTCATGTTAATTCTACCATAGAATGACGGAAAGAAAAACGAGAATCTCGCCTTTAATTGCGAAATTCAGATCATTCAATACATACCTTCTAAGTAAATGTACCTTTTCTGCACTAAAATTCCCAATTTCAGAAGTTTTCTGATCCCTAATCTGTATATATTCATGGAATCGTACATGAATTCCAGTCAAAATTTCATAGGGTCAGATGAAAAGCAATGAAATCAATCTGCGTCAATTCGGGTATACAAGATCTTAAGTCGTAATTAAGGCACCAAACGTTTATCATCACGATGAATCAAAGATGCAAAATCCAATAGATTCAGAAAATCTCCAGAGCCAAGTAACGAACCCACGAAAAGGCTCAGATCGAGAAGCAACTTACCACCAGAACGCGAAGCAACAGTCTGCGAACAACAACAACGACAACGAAGAAATTGACCGATCAATACTCAAATTCAAACAAAAATTCTCCCAGAAGAGAGAGAGAGATAGAGATAGATGTTGTTACATGGAGTATCAGCCTGGGTGCTCCGAGAGAGATCGGTGTGCCAGACATTGCGGTAGTTCTGTCGGAGCTGCATCTTCTCCACGTTGTCCTGAGGCGCCATTTTCGTACTGGATCTCTCGCTCTCTAAGGAAAGGAAAGGAGAAGGCGAGAGAATCAGAGAGACGGGAACTCAGATCAAAAGAAGAAGAAGCAAGTCAAACTGTGTATGGAGTGGCCAACTTGCAGAAGAAAAGGGAGAAAAAACCTGTCGAGCGCTCGCCGGTTGCCAACTCTACACACGTTGACTAGACAAAGTCTTGGGTGAATTTTGTAATTCTTGTAAACTTTTGGGGCCATATCTTAAATATTCCCATATTTTCAATGGCCTATTGATTGATATTCACTCTTTTCCAAAACATACCCTACATTTTCTTTTTTTGGTAAAATCATGCCCCACATTTTCCATTTGGTCCCAAAGATAACCGCGGTTACCTGATGGTTTAATGAATTTTAATGGTCAGACCTAAATCATGCATTTGTTGGGGAAAATTTTGCATTTTCTCGAAATTTAAAATCTATTTAATATGTAACTAAAAATAATTCCTCGAATATGATGTGATGGCATATTATTCAATAATATATTTTCTCCCAAACATGATTTTATAATGTTTTATAAACTCAATAAAATCGTGGTGATTTCTTGTGCATATTAAAATTTTTCGTTACGGTATTTCGTGGATTTTATGTAATTGGTAAAAATCAAAATGGATGCAAGTTTGACATGGGAACAGCATTTTTGGAATATATGTACAAATAAAATGGCACAGTTTTTTTTTGCCAACATAAATGCCACCCTAATAAGAATAATAATAATAATAATGATAATGATAATAATAATAATAATAATAATAATAATAATAATAATAATAATAATAATAATAATAATAATAATAATAATAATAATAATAATAATAATAATAATAATAATAATAATAATAATAATAATAATAATAATAATAATTATTATTATTATTATTATTATTATTATTATTCATGATCGCAGCTATATGGGTTCATAGGCCCAACTAGCTAAATTATAAAGAAGCCCATGAATGGCCCGTTAAGGGAGAGAAAGGCCACCGGAGTCTCCCGTTGCAGCATTTTCCGTCATCGTCTCTCTCTCTCTCTTTCTCTCGTCGTATCGGAGACGAAGAAGCGTCGAGGTCGAAGGAAGGGGGGATGAGCGGTCACGATTCCAAATACTTTTCTACAACCAAGAAGGGAGAGATCCCCGAGCTCAAGGATGAGCTCAATTCCCAGTACAAGGTTCTCATCTCATTCATCTTACTCTCTCTCTCGTTCCCTGTCTCCCGACTATCCATGTGTTTCATTTGTGGCTCTGTGGATCGCCATTGTTGCGATTTTTGATATCCCGTTCCGTGATTCTCTTTATGGGGTTTCGCCGATTGATTTGATATATTTTTTTTTTGTTTTCTGGTAGATCTGCGTAGTTTTGGGTTCGAATTCATGTGTTAATTTTGTTGCTTCTGAATAGAATTAGCTTCGGGTTTTGGGAAAAACCTTGTGGGGATGTGTGCAATTTCTAGGAACTCTGGGGGAATTAATTGGTTGATCTATATTGAACTTGGATCGATCAAGGCAAATTTGTTCGAGGATCAGAGATTTATTGAGTGAACTGTTGTTTCTTCTTATAGCTTCAATGTATTTGGATCCTGAGAGATCAATCCCATCTGCTCATTTGTGGTGGAACCTTCAATTTTCGTGGTTGCGCCTGCTGAGAAACTTACAAAAGAGTCGGGCTTTGAATCTGTAAGAGATCTGTGTTACATGTAGATCTCAGTTTTAAGTAGACAGAGATTAGGAAATAACTAAAGTCTAATGTTCAAACCCGAATCTTTCTGACACTTATTCTGCCTCAGTCATATTCAGTCTTAACTCATATTTAACTCTTGCAGTTTGCTAGAACTAGTTTTTCTGTATGTTTCCATGGCTCATAATTACAGTTCTAAGAGATTGTTTTGTTGCTGGCTCAATTAGGGGAAATGCAGTTTTCTTTCTTGCTTCGGTTTGTTAATCTTTCTTTGTCCGTTTCCCGTTATGTTTCTAGGATAAGAGAAAAGATGCTGTCAAGAAGGTGATAGCTGCAATGACGGTTGGAAAGGATGTTTCATCACTTTTCACCGACGTAGTCAATTGCATGCAAACGGAAAATTTGGAGCTGAAGAAGCTTGTTTACTTATATCTCATAAATTACGCGAAAAGCCAGCCAGATCTTGCTATTCTTGCTGTAAATACTTTTGTAAAGGTAATGCTCAAGCTACCTCCTCACGACAGTCTTTTTATTCAGTTGTACCCTAGCAAAGTTAAAACATCTAGTATGTAATGATTTTTTTTGTCTCTTGTTATTTGGGAAAGAAAACCTTTCATTGTACAATATATGCATTAATAGATTTGATTTAGTGGTTTTCTGTATATCATTATAAAATTATTGCTTTGTGATTGTGCAGGATTCGCAGGATCCAAATCCCTTGATCCGTGCTTTGGCTGTACGGACTATGGGCTGCATTCGTGTGGATAAAATCACCGAATATCTCTGTGATCCTCTTCAGAAGTGCCTCAAGGTTGAGTTTTTAACGCTACCTTTTCACTGGAACTTCTTATTAAGTATTCGACTTGACTCGAGAATCTGTTTCATTTTGATTGGTGTATTTTTTTCTATTCATTTGCCTTTTGCATGCTTTATTGTCAGGATGATGATCCATACGTCCGGAAGACAGCAGCTATATGTGTCGCTAAGCTTTACGATTTAAATGCTGAATTAGTTGAGGATAGGGGTTTCCTCGATGCCTTGAAGGATTTGATATCTGACAACAATCCAATGGTTGTTGCAAATGCTGTAGCAGCCCTTGCAGAGATCCAAGAGAATAGTACTAGGCCTATGTTTGAAGTGACTAGTGCTACCCTTACAAAGCTCCTTACCGCTCTAAATGAGTGCACAGAGTAAGTCTTTTCCTCATCTCCATCTTCCCTCATTTTTGGCCAATAGTCGGACCCTTTTAAAGAAGCATTCAGTGCTGTGGTTTAAATTTTGGTTCTGATTTTAATACTGACTATGGTCATTGTAGGTGGGGTCAAGTTTTTATACTAGATGCTTTGTCTAGGTATAAGTCAACTGACCCTCGTGAAGCTGAAAACATTGTTGAGAGAGTCACTCCAAGGTTGCAACATGCCAATTGTGCTGTTGTGCTCTCAGCTGTTAAGGTGAGATGTTTCTTATTGACTTTCTGTGCAACAAAGTGTTACTTGAAGATTATTCATAAAATATCACTTACGCGCCCTTGCACAATTTTCATGCTTGCTCCTTCTCTTTATTTCTTTCATGAATCATGGTGCAGATGATCCTTCAGCAAATGGAACTTATTACTAGTACAGATGTAATTCGAAATCTTTGCAAGAAGATGGCTCCGCCTCTTGTTACATTGCTTTCTGCGGAACCCGAGATACAATATGTTGCACTTCGTAACATTAACCTTATAGTCCAGAAGCGACCCACCATCCTTGCCCATGAAATAAAGGTACCTTAACCCCTTACCTGAGGACCCATATTACACAATTGATATATTTTTGTATTTGTTGAATGTAGTGGAACTCTAACGTAAAGAGGGCATTCTTATTTGTGATTCTGCTTTTGATAGGTATTCTTCTGCAAGTACAACGATCCGATTTATGTTAAGATGGAGAAGCTGGAAATTATGATAAAGCTTGCTTCTGACAGAAACATAGACCAGGTATCTTGAGTAAGCCATGCCATCTGTTGTATGTCTCGATCATTTTGGGTGTGTACAGTCTGTCTATATGAGGAAGAATTCTGGCAAACGCTACTGTAGGTTCTTCTGGAGTTCAAAGAGTATGCCACGGAAGTTGATGTTGATTTTGTTAGAAAAGCTGTTCGTGCTATAGGCCGTTGTGCCATCAAACTAGAAAGAGCAGCCGAGCGTTGCATCAGTGTTTTGCTTGAGTTAATCAAGATCAAAGTGAATTACGTTGTTCAAGAGGCTATCATAGTCATCAAAGATATCTTCAGAAGATATCCAAACACGTAAGCTAACAGTTTTCCGTTGTTGTTGCAAATGACATTTTCTTTCATCTTGGTTATATTAACGAAAGCAACTTACAGGTATGAATCGATTATTGCAACACTGTGTGAGAGTTTAGACACTTTGGATGAACCAGAAGCTAAGGTAGCGGCCTTTCTTGTTTGATTATCGGTTTGATAAAGTTTTAAGTTTCCGTTGCAAATGACTAATCTCAGACCAGCAGATTAATACTCTTGCGTCTGTCTGCATCTGGTTAGGCATCTATGATATGGATCATCGGTGAATATGCTGAAAGAATTGACAATGCCGATGAACTTCTTGAAAGCTTCCTGGAGAGTTTCCCTGAGGAACCTCCACAGGTCCAGCTGCAGTTGTTAACAGCTACCGTCAAGCTATTCTTGAAGAAGCCGACAGAAGGCCCTCAGCAAATGATTCAGGTTCCACTATACCCATGATGAAAGCATATTTCCCCCGTCCTGATTAACTCATGTCTATGTGTAGATAGAAAACTGGCATGTTTACTTCCATGCTTCGTGTGTTTTTCAGGTTGTCTTGAATAACGCGACTGTGGAGACAGACAATCCTGATCTCAGAGATCGTGCCTACATATACTGGCGTCTTCTATCCACCGATCCCGAGGTGCTTTACTTTGGTTCATTATAGCTTTTGGTTCAACTAGTTGATGTTCAAATTTGAAAATCATATGTGCAGTTATTGAAGACATTGTTGCATTTTCTTTGGATAGGCGGCTAAGGATGTTGTTCTGGCTGAAAAGCCTGTGATTACTGATGATTCAAACCAGCTCGATGCATCACTCTTAGACGAGCTCCTCGCAAATATTGCTACTTTGTCCTCTGTATATCACAAACCACCAGAGGCCTTCATGACCCGGTTGAAGACCACAGTTCAGAAAACTGAAGATGAGGACTATGCCGAGGGAAGTGAAGCAGGATACTCTGAGACATCTTCTCACCCGGTCGATGGTGCAGCTTCTCCTCCAGCCGCCGCAAGTAATGTTCCTCAGGATGCATCATCAAGACAACCAGCTCCTGCTTCTGTTCCTGATCTGTTAGGTGACTTGATTGGATTAGATAATGCCTCGGCAATTGTCCCATCTGATCAACCCACAACTCCATCTGGGTATGACTTGAATGGTGGAACTGTCTATTGATTTGTGAGGTTATATTCTATATGGGGAATTTCGGGACATGCCTGTCGCCGATCTCATCTTATCTTCTGAACATGATTTGCAGTCCCTCATTGCCTGTTCTGCTCCCAGCATCGACTGGTCAAGGTCTGCAGATTAGCGGTCAGCTAAACCGAAGGGATGGACAAGTATTCTACAGCATGCTTTTCGAGAACAACTCGCAGATTCCGCTTGATGGCTTCATGATTCAATTCAACAAGAACACGTTTGGGCTTGCAGCTGCCGGACCTCTTCAGGTAATCAAAGTTTACTATATGCTCAATGTCTGAAACTCATCCTGTTTTGGATCTTGATCTAATATTAACGTGTTGTCTTTTTTAGATTCCGACTCTGCAACCCGGAACTTCTGCCAGGACGATGCTGCCTATGGTATTGTTTCAGAACATGTCTGGCGGTCCTCCCAGCTTGCTTTTGCAAGTCGCGGTGAAAAACAATCAGCAACCGGTCTGGTATTTCAACGATAAGATCTTACTCGCTGCCCTTTTCACGGAAGATGGCAGGATGGAACGTGGAAACTTCCTCGAGGTAAAAAAAAAAAAGCAATCAAATTACCGAATCAAATCCCAGACCTTCATGTCAGTTTCAGTAAGTACCAGCAAAAAACCCGGTTTTTTTTTCTCGTTTACGCAGACATGGAGATCGTTGCCAGACTCAAACGAGGTTCAGAAGGAATTCCAAGGGATCACAATCTCAAGCGTGGAATCAACGCTGGATTTACTCGCAGCGTTGAACATGTTTTTTATAGCGAAGCGTAAGAACGGGAACCAGGACGTGCTTTACCTATCTGCAAAGCTTCCGAGAGGCGTACCTTTCCTGATCGAACTCACAGCCTTCGTGGGGAATCAAGGCCTCAAATGCGCCGTCAAGACTCCCTCACCGGAGATGGCCCCTCTCTTCTTCGAATCCCTCGAACATATTCTCCTCAATGCTTGATGGATACTCTGAGACATCTTCTCACCCGGTCGATGGTGCAGCTTCTCCTCCAGCCGCCGCAAGTAATGTTCCTCAGGATGCATCATCAAGACAACCAGCTCCTGCTTCTGTTCCTGATCTGTTAGGTGACTTGATTGGATTAGATAATGCCTCGGCAATTGTCCCATCTGATCAACCCACAACTCCATCTGGGTATGACTTGAATGGTGGAACTGTCTATTGATTTGTGAGGTTATATTCTATATGGGGAATTTCGGGACATGCCTGTCGCCGATCTCATCTTATCTTCTGAACATGATTTGCAGTCCCTCATTGCCTGTTCTGCTCCCAGCATCGACTGGTCAAGGTCTGCAGATTAGCGGTCAGCTAAACCGAAGGGATGGACAAGTATTCTACAGCATGCTTTTCGAGAACAACTCGCAGATTCCGCTTGATGGCTTCATGATTCAATTCAACAAGAACACGTTTGGGCTTGCAGCTGCCGGACCTCTTCAGGTAATCAAAGTTTACTATATGCTCAATGTCTGAAACTCATCCTGTTTTGGATCTTGATCTAATATTAACGTGTTGTCTTTTTTAGATTCCGACTCTGCAACCCGGAACTTCTGCCAGGACGATGCTGCCTATGGTATTGTTTCAGAACATGTCTGGCGGTCCTCCCAGCTTGCTTTTGCAAGTCGCGGTGAAAAACAATCAGCAACCGGTCTGGTATTTCAACGATAAGATCTTACTCGCTGCCCTTTTCACGGAAGATGGCAGGATGGAACGTGGAAACTTCCTCGAGGTAAAAAAAAAAAAGCAATCAAATTACCGAATCAAATCCCAGACCTTCATGTCAGTTTCAGTAAGTACCAGCAAAAAACCCGGTTTTTTTTTCTCGTTTACGCAGACATGGAGATCGTTGCCAGACTCAAACGAGGTTCAGAAGGAATTCCAAGGGATCACAATCTCAAGCGTGGAATCAACGCTGGATTTACTCGCAGCGTTGAACATGTTTTTTATAGCGAAGCGTAAGAACGGGAACCAGGACGTGCTTTACCTATCTGCAAAGCTTCCGAGAGGCGTACCTTTCCTGATCGAACTCACAGCCTTCGTGGGGAATCAAGGCCTCAAATGCGCCGTCAAGACTCCCTCACCGGAGATGGCCCCTCTCTTCTTCGAATCCCTCGAACATATTCTCCTCAATGCTTGATGGTGATTCTTCAAGGTTAACCCAGTGATGAAAGGTCATTCCTTATTCTTCCTTTTTTTTTTTTTGCCGACTATCCTTTCTCCAGTTTCAGTTTAGTGTATGTAATGTATTGCCAACCTTAAGCTGCTAAGTATCATATTTTTTGGGTGTGTTTGTGTTGGGGAAATGAGCCCTTGATGTTGATTGTTTTTTTTTTTGTGACTGAATTTAATCTGTGTAATCTCCAAAAAATTTGCCATTTTTTTAAACTTTGTTTTTTTTTTTTGCCGACTATCCTTTCTCCAGTTTCAGTTTAGTGTATGTAATGTATTGCCAACCTTAAGCTGCTAAGTATCATATTTTTTGGGTGTGTTTGTGTTGGGGAAATGAGCCCTTGATGTTGATTGTTTTTTTTTTTGTGACTGAATTTAATCTGTGTAATCTCCAAAAAATTTGCCATTTTTTTAAACTTTGGTTTTGGTGTTTTTGGTTCTTGAGCAAAGCCATTGTAGTAATTTGCAAATGTATGAATGGGTTTGAGATTTCTTATAGGATAATGATATGTTCCTTACCCTACCATTGTATAGATTCATATCATTCGGTGATTTTACAATATAATTGTTATTGTAACCAATTGCAATTGCTCGTCCTTATATTTTTATCGAGTAAAAAAAAATGAAAAGAAAGAAAAGGGTAATCCACGTTAGTTTTTTTATTGTCATTGTTGGAATTGTTACATCTTGGAACATGAGACCAAGTGTTCTTCCTTCTTTAAAGGGGAAATAAAATCAATTTCCCCATTAGCATATTATTCCCAAATTTGCATTATCCGATAATTTAGGCTTATAATTCGGTTGAATCTGTTTCTTTTTCTGGATTTTCTAAAGATTTTGATGCCCTTTTTGTTTTAATTTCCTTGTACATCCAAAGCACTGCATACATTGCCTTGTGTATATATGCGCATGTATACACAGATACACAGAGAGATCATATAGGCCGTACGAATTGGCAAACCATCTTCTACGAGATGAATCCCGGAAGCACAAACGAGGTTTGCTAAATTACTGCAGATTCCATTGTTCTTTTCCACTCTATTCTTGTTCAATCCATATCTTTTAATTACTGCTTTTTCAGGTTTCATTTTTCCTTTTTCTGGGTTTTAAAATTAATACAAACAGTAATATTCGCCTCAAGAAATCGACATAGATCCTGGTCCTGTTCGATGAGATCTCTTGGCGAAGTACATTGAATCCGTTCTGTTTTCAGATGAATGACACCAAACACTTCACAGGCGCTCCAGCTTCCATGGAACTCGTGTCTGACAAAGCCAAAACTGAAGCCAGTTAAGTTTCACATACATACATACATAACATACATACGTATGCATGTAAACATTAACTGAGCTCAGAGATTGAAGGATCATACTGTAATTGCAGCTGTTGTGTCTGAAGGAAGAGAGCAGCAACCAAACGCCAGACCCGCGTCTTCAACCGCTGAAACAAACCGCAGTAGCAGCGATACAAACGCTCCTATGAATCCACGCCCTCTTCCCGTGAGAATAATATTATATAACGTCCAACTCTATACAAGCTTATAAGTCTGCAATATTATTAGTGGCAATTTTAATTTACTGAACGTTTTTGTCAGAAGGTGAACTTTGCAAAACTGGAAACAGCTCGGCTGTGGGATTATTGCAGATTCTATGGAATTGTAAGTTTCGGAATTCTCGTGATCATATTTTTAATTTTCCGACATTAAAAAACTTTTTTTTTTTTTTTTGCGGAAGGGCGTAAACGATGGTCTGAGCAGGGACCAATTACTCGATGCCGTGAATCTCCACTTCGTCTCTCAGGTACTCTCAATCTTTTACTACATTGCCAAACGAAAAGATATTATTTACATAATATATATATATATATATAATGAAAACTTGTATATATATTGAAAATGAGGTACTGATGTTCTTATATATGGTTTTGTATTTTGTAATCGATTACTAAATAAATATCATAATGCGATAATTTCAGCCAGTTTTGAAGGAGGAAGAAGTTTTGTCGAAGTTTGCCATTGCAGTTGTCGCGGACCAAAGGCGAAAACGTATTAGTAGACGTTGAGGATGATCGACTTTGGATTAAAAAAAAATATTCTCTCGGTTTCTCAATTGAACATGAAATAGTTTGAACTAAATCTGTATATCACATCTTTATGTTATATATATATATATATACCGTTATCCAAAATCAGCTGTTATACTTGATCAATTGAGACCAACCCTTTATTCATCTGAAATTCTGAACGTGGATAAGCTCTTATGTTATTGTTATTATTAGCGAAGTATATTATTTTCAGGTCAATTTCCCAATAATCTTTCCGTGTAATTTTAAGAATTCATCTTTAGCATTCACTGCATATCATTAAAATTATTTAGTAATATTCAATTTCAAGAGGAAAAAAAAACTATTATATATTATCAGAGCTGTTTTGTTTTGTTTATTGAATTTGCTTCGGATTGCAAGAATACCTCAATTTTCATCCAAAAATGTTTTTCCACATTTGTGCAATTTTATTCCTTATTTTTGTTACCTAATTTCCTTTTTTTTTTACCTAATTTCATGTAAATTTTGATCATGATGATTCCTATTTATTTTCTAACCAATTATTTAAACAAATTATTTGGAGAATTTTATTAATCTCACTAAAACACATTTTTAAGCTCCAAAATTATCATTTAAGTGGTATTTTCTAATTTCTACATTGAAAATGACCTTGGGAATCTATTGGTTAAAAGTTAAAACACAAAACTATTAACTTTACCTATTTATTCTCAATGTTTTGTTGTAAAAATTGTTGGCTCATCGTATTAACTGCCACCGCCATTAATAAAAAAAATACTAATAAGTAACCCATTTATTAAAAAAAAATTCAAAAGAAAGTTTTGGCAACTAGATATTGAAAATTATTTTTAAATAAAAAGAGGAAGAAAGACAATAAGGAGAAAGAAACTTAGAAAGAAATGTAAATATTTATATACTAAGAAAAAACAATGAAAACTTAAAAAGAAAATAAAAAGGAATAAAAATAGAAAATATAGCCAAAAACAAGAAGAAAGGTTGACGTAGGGGGTGTAAATACTATGAAAATAGAATTTCTGTTTTTTTTCCCCAAATACTAAATGAAATTATGGAGAGAAATAAGAAAAATGAAGAAGAAATCGCTAATTTACACTACAGATAAAGCAATAGAAAAAATAGAAAGAAAAAAAAAAGACTGGAAAAAATACATTAAATAGTAAACTATAGATATGGAAATATAGAACTCAGAGAAAAAAAAATATGAAAGAAAAAACGTAGAGCAATATAGCAAAAAAGAATCAAACCATTAAAAGAAAAGAAGAAAGAAATTAACCCATTAATTAAATAAAAAACGCGTCATTTTAATCCTATAAATACATTATCATATTAGACATTAATTAGAATTAACACTTACCATTAAATCCAACAGATTTTCTCGCGAAGAATGAAGAAGTTCATAACAGTTATGATCTTTTGTTTCATTTTCATGTGCATGGCCATGGCTGACTCTGGAATTTAGAAGAGCAGAGATTAGGGGAAGAGTTTGAAGTGCACGAGAAAGGCAAATCCACAGGGGCTTTCCTGTCTCGGAGGTTCTTGTCTTCTGGTCCGAGCCCCAGGGGTAGCGGTCACTAAATTAATTTCTGTATTTTTAATTATTTTTAGAAATGGATCGATTATTAAATAGTATACTAAGTGATAGTCTTATTTTACATATCTTTATAGTTGTTTTTATATTGTAAGCTTTAGGGACGAAATTCTAATTTCATTTGCATAAGTTTGACGTGTTAGAAGATATTATTAAAGCATTAATTTATTTTTAGTTTTTGGTTAATCAGAAATGTGTATTCAAGATTTGGTAATTGTGTTTCTAGAATTTTACAAACTGTTTAAAGTAAATTATTATTATATACTAGAATGTTCTTAGGAATAGTATATATATGTGTGGTCTCGTAATATTTTGAATAACAAAAAATATTTTTTTACTATTGCTAATATGACCACGGCCGAAAGAGTGATTTTATTTGGTTAATAGCCCAATCCATGTGTATCATAATTAATCTGAATCCAATAATAAATCAATTGATTATGATTTTTTAAAATCTAAAAAACGGAATCTAAACCTAAACTGATCGAAATGAAAAATCGTTTTTTTTTTTTGCGGTGTAAAACAAATTCTTTACTTTTGGTTTTTGGGATGATTAGCAAAGTGGGAAGAATAATTATTAAATAAATAATATTGCAAAACGCCCCTATAGCTCAGTGGTAGAGCGTCAGTCTTGTAAACTGAAGGTCCGTAGTTCGATCCTGCGTGGGGGCATTTTTTAATTTTATTTTTCTTTTAACTCAACACAACAAATACTGAGAGACTGAGATCATTCATTCTAGGTGTTTTTGTTTCGGTTAGTCAAAACCAGACCCAGAATTGGAGTTGTGAGAAACCTATTGACATAGTCTTTGCTTACAATTCACAACTTTCAATCTTTCCAACTTTACTCATCACAAGTTTACGAATAATAATACAAACAAAGATTTTGCCAGACAAACAGAGATCGCTGGCAAAGAAGACGAACACAGATGCTGTCCTTTAACTCGAGTTGGTGAGATTCATACTAAACTCCCATAGTTTCTTAGCCAAATCTGAATCTTTTGTACATGAAGATGGTTTCCCTATGTTGCTGTCTTTGAAGTATTCTCCGGTGGCCCCACCCACCTGAGGATGCAGTGCCACATAACATGTAGTTGCCGCCCCCTGTTATATTGGTTTCAGACATGATGATGATGATAAGCCAAACCAGACATCTGAACCGAGTTATGGTTTTAACCATGTTCTTTTTCTTCTGGTCTGCCGGTTGGTTATGGTCAGCATCAAGAAACCCGGTTACCGGTTTGCATGATTAGTCCGGTTTAAATTGGTTTGGATCTGGTCGGTTTTTCTTCAGTTAGTGGTTTGGAGAATTTGGTCGGTTTAGAGAAGCATATACCTGTGGAACACTCTTCAGGACATATTTCCCCACTGCCTGAACAATTCCTGTATCGATCACGTGACAGAAATCCAATAGCAAATCATTTATGGAGATGCATATATGGACATGTATACATACATTTATACGTATAGGTAACCATCTCCACCATGCAACTGAAGATGTTTGTGTGGTTTATTCGCAGTCCAGACTATGGAAACCAGACATAAATGCCATTGATGAAGCTAGTGTGTACCTTGACAGACATGTATGTGTGTGTATATATGTACATGTCTGCCTATATGTGTGTACCTTTTACAGAACATGGGTTGATAATAGAAGAAATCGGAAAAAAAATAATTACCATTGATGATGCCGGAGTGGTGGAACAGATTGGTCATAATGCCACCTGGATGAAGCGAATTCGCGGTGATATTCACCTCGTCTTCCTGCTTATCAATACGAGAATTCGAAAGTATCAACTTTCTTGATCTTGAATGTCGAATCGTTACAAAAGACAAGTTCTTGATTTCAGTATGGAAGCTTCTTTTTTGTTTTGACCGACCTTAAGTTGCTCTGAGAGCTCGTTGGCGTGCAAAATATTGCAGAGCTTCGACTCTGCATAGGCTGTCGTTCTACTGTAACTGCAGAAAAACAGAACCACACCACACAGAAAGAACGTCGATATATATATATATATATATATGAAAAGAGACGGGACGAAGTGATTTGAACGTTTTCGGTTAATATAACCTCGGTTCGTCAGTGATTTTATCAAAGCGGATTCCTTCTTTGTATGTGAATAAATGAGCATCAGATGATACATTAACGATCCTTCCTTCCCGCCTGCTTTCACGGGACGTGTTCTTCATCGTATCTAGCAGAAGATTTGTCAATAGAAAATGACCTGAAACAATATGAAGATGTTACCACTCTCTTGCTTTAGCTTCTGGAATTTAGAAGAGCAGAGATTAGGTTAAATAGATTCACTTTTATTGTGTTTTTACTGAATTAGCTCACCCAAATGATTGGTTGCGAATTGCAGCTCGACGTTATCCTTTGAAAGCATGAAAGGGCAAGCCATAATCCCCGCATTGTTGCTTCAGACGAAAACGATATGATCGAAAACATTATCCTTAACGATAAACCAAAGATTCAAAATTCACATGGGTTTGGGTTCTTACATGAGAATATTAAGTGGACGACCTGAAGATATGTATTCGGATGCGAATTTCCTGACAGATTCCATTGAACTGAGATCCAACTCCATAACCTCGACCTTGGCTCCAGGAACTTGGTTGATGATATCTTCCTTAACTTTAGCACCTGCACTTGTGTTCCTCACTGCCATTACTACGTGGACCCCACGCAGTGCAAGAACACGTGCCGTCTCAACTCCGATACCACTCGATGCTCCTGAAAATTTGAACAAATCAGAGAAAGTTCATCACAGTTTTTTTTTTCCTTCTAAATTCAGCGAGTTTCAGTTCAAGAAATGGAAACGTTTCTTTTGACTGTTCTTGAACCGGTCAGATGCATGCTTAATATGATCAGATGCGTGAATTCATATAATCAGATGTTTTTCATATATAGATCATAATACTTGCCGTAATTTCTAATAAACTGAAAGCGGACACGAGTTCAAATCGTATCAGAACAGAAACCCAGAATTGAAATTCCTCCGACAAGATTCAGAATCCAATTCCAGTTATGTTCCCGTCTGTTCTATTTTGTAATGAAAACTAGGAACAGCTTTGACAATAAATCACCGACAAGATGTCCTTTTCATCTGTAACCAGATCATGATGACCATAGAACCCTAGATGCCAATTGAACAAAGCAAGTCTCTTTCCTACTCGTGAATCAGTTCTGAGACAGAACACAGAACTCGGAATTGTACGAAAGTGCTGAAATTGAGACAGACCCAAGCCATAAAAACCAGAAAACTGCAAGAAAGTTGACAAATTTATCCTACAGAATGTGTGCATATATATACACACGATTGACGAAGACCTGTAACGATGGCAGTGAGTCCTGTTCCGTCAACTCCATGTGTGACTTCTTCCGCTGTTGAGCGAGATGAGAACCCAGACGCCCCTTTTGATCCAAAAAACCACATTTTTATTTTCTGTTTTCGATTTCGGAGAATGGATCAAAGTTTTATAATCAACACCTCGAGGCAAGAGTTGACCAGAAAAGGTCCCATGTTCTGTCATGTGATATCCTCTTAATCTATTATCAGCAAAGACACGAGTTTAATTTTTTTTTGGGGGGAAACGACGAAACGTTGAATCGGGTATAGTTCTTTAAGCAAATTCAAAGTTCAATTTCAACTATTTCAAGATTATTTTTTTATTATCCACGATTGTAAAACGTGTTTCGACAAAATATAAGATATTGGGATCCTTGACTCTGTTTATTTCTTAATTCAAGATTATAGTTTTTCGATCATGAAAATCATCAAGAACCCTGTCCTTTCTCCTTTTCTTTCTCTACACCTTTCTTTATCTGCACGTTTTCGTCATTTTTCCCGAGAAAAGATGGAGATTTTCAGAGAAAATCAGAGAACAGAACAATGGGAGTCGTACAACAAATTTCATCCGAGAAAACGGAGAAACAATCCGAGAAATATAGTTTCGTCGGAGAAAAGAACAGAAAATGCTGAGTTACCATCTCAGAATCGAACCAGAATGTGTTTGGTTCCAAGGAAAATGCGAGACAGCTCAGGAGAAAGCAGAGAAAACAGGGAAGAAAAGTTTACAAAAGATATTTGTGTTACATTCAGTTTATACAGAGTTTGGTTACATTCAGTTTCCAATTCATACAAAAAGTTTGAACAAGTAACATTCACTGTGGCTGGCTTGCAGAAAGGAAAGAAAAAAAAACAGACATCACTAACGGAGAAGATGAACACAAATGCTGTGTAAGAACTTTTGCTTATCTCGATTTGGTAAGATTCATACTGAAATCCCATAGTTTCTTGGCCAAATCCGAATCTTTTGCAAGTGAAGTCGGTTTTCCTATGTTGCTGTCTTGGAAGTACTCTCCGGTTACCTCAGCCACCTGAGGATGCAATGCTACGTAGCAAGTTGTAGCCGCCCCCTGTAATTGATGATGATAAAACCAAAGTGAACAACCAAACCGGAACCCTGAACCGAACCAGACCGGTTCAGTGAAATGGCAAAAACCCGGTTAACGGTTTTTTGTATTATTAGTTAATTAAATCTGTTCAAAGCATATACCTGTGGAACACTCTTCAGCACATATTTCCCCACTGCCTGAACAATTCCTGCATCAATCCGGCGACAGAAATCTAATGGCAAATCATATGATTCAATGGCAATCGTATATAGTGCACTCCTATTATTGATAATCGCAACGTACCACAAGCAACAAGCAGAATGAGCAAGCTTTACCGAGTTCGGGAAGAATACCAGTGCATGCAAGCACAAGAACATATGTACGTATAAGTATCTATCTACATCCTGCAACTAATGATGCTTGAGTCGTTTATGAACTCACGGTATATATATTATATGTATATGTGTCTGTGTTTGTGTGCATCTTTACAGAGCATGGATTGGTAAAAGACGGACTAGAGACAGAATTACCATTGATGAAGCTGTGGTGGCGCATTAGATTGGTCGTAATGACGCCTGGATGAAGGGAATTTGCGGTGATATTCACCCTGTCTTCCTGTTTTATCCATACCCCAGAAAATGAAAGCATCAACAAACTTAATCTTGAATACCGAATCATTACAAAACATTTTGATTCAGTAGAGAAGTCTTTTGTTACCTTAAGCTGCTTTGCGAGTTCATTGGCATGCAAAACGTTGGACAGCTTTGACTGCCCGTAAGCAAGCATGGTATTATAACTGCAGAAAGGGGAAACACCAAGAAAGAACGGGTTGATATATGAAACAGAGACGGGAAATAATGGATCAACTATTAAGTTACTATCACCTCGACTTGTCGTTGATTGTGTCAAAACGGATTCCTTCTTTATATGGGTACCGATGAGCTGCAGACGAAACATTAACAATCCTTCCTCCTCGTTTGCTTTCACGAGATGTGTTCTTCATCGTATCTAGTAGAAGGTTTGTCAGCAGAAAATGTCCTGAAATAATATGAACATGTAACTGATATCTAAGTTCAAGTGTCTCAAACTTGGAATCACAGCAACTAGGTTGAACAGATCCATTAGGCTTCTGTAATATTACGAGGTTGATTACATGTTTCGTATTGTGTTTACTAAATTAACTCACCCAGGTGGTTGGTTGCGAATTGCAGCTCAATGTTATCCTTTGAAAGCATGAAAGGACAAGCCATAATCCCTGCATTGTTGCTTCAGACGAAAACGATATGATCGAAAACATTTATCTTTAACTATAAACCGAAGATTCAAAATTCACGTGGGTTTTGGTTCTTACATGAGAAGATTAAGAGGACGGCCAGAAGAATTGTATTCAGACGCGAATTTCCTGACAGATTCCATAGAACTGAGATCCAACTCCATAACCTCGACCTTAGCTCCAGGAACTTGATTGATGATATCTTCCTGAACTTTAGCACCTGAACCAGTGTTCCTGACTGCCATAACTACGTGAACCCCACGCAAGGCAAGAACACGTGCCGTCTCAACTCCGATACCGCTCGATGCTCCTGAAAATTTTAACATGTAAGAAGAGAACTTTAAACAAATCAAGCAAGTTGAGAAAGTTAAACAAACCATAGCCAATGGCTAAGAGAGGTTAGTAATTGTGACATAACGCCGAACCAAAACCAATGGCCAGATGATATTTGCAGCCATTTTCCAATAAGCAATGAGCAAACACGAATTGGAATTGTATCAGAAACCCGGAATAGAAATTCCACCAGCAAGGGTGCATGTATGTTTCTAAAGGCGTGTTATTGCAATCTTTGCAAAGCTATTAATGTTTCATCACCAGCTTTTACTGGGAATTCCCCACTAAACTACGAAAGAATCAAATGGATACTACAATTCTATGCTCTGTAAAGGACAAAGTTTTCCCATGAAGGGAAGATCTGAAGAGTATGATGTACTCCTGTTACAGTTATGTTCCTGTATGCGCTATTTTGAAGTGAACTTTTCTCTTGAAAGAAATCAGAAACAGCACAGAGAGACAAGACGTGAAGTCTCACAGATGATTTGGGTTCATTTGTTTGATCGAATTATGAAACAGATCCTGATCATGGAGACCCAAATTCCAATCGAACAAAGCACACAAGCCATTTTCCTGCTCGTGAATCAGTTATGAGACAGAACCAGAACTCGGAATGGTGTGAAAGTGGAGAAATTCAGACAGACCCAGTTCATAAAAACCGAAAATTTGCATTAAAAACTCAGAATTTTGACCGAACACAAGATTTAAGAAGACCTGTGACGACGGCAGTGAGTCCTGTTCCGTCAACTCCATGTGTGACTTCTTCCGCTGTCGAACGAGATGAGAACCCAGATGCCCCTTTCGATCCAAAAAACCACATTTTTTTTCTTCAAAGTTTGTTGTTTTCTTTTTCGGAGAATCGATCAACGATGTCTAATCATCAACACCTTGAGGAAAAAGGATGACCAGAAAAGCTCAAATGTTTTATCATGTTCCTTGGCGGCTTTTTATCGGTGTCACTCACGTGAAATTTTTAACCTATTATTCACACACACACACACACACACGAGTATATATTATGAAAATTCTAGATCGCATTACGTGTTAACACCACATGACACATGTAAGAAAGAGACCTTGCTTGCGTGGGGGATGGAGAGATAGACCCATATGCGTGGAGTGGAAGAAATGTCAGTCCAAGCCCTAATTGGGTAGAGGAAGAACCATACATGTGAACCCATGGGGGAACTTTGAGAGGGGGGAACTTCAGCAATGCCCCTTTTGTGTCGCAGGGATATCATGGATACACCTCACAAACATAAGCAATTATCAAATTACAAAGTTACCCTTAAAAAAATTGGAAAAAGTCATTCATACCCTTAATGAAACACAACAACGCGTAAGTACACATGGGAGATGTGAGAGGTGGAAACTTCAATGCAAGAACGTGTGTCAATATCCACATGTGTGGCTTAAAAAAAATCAACCACTAATAATAAAAATCTAAAACTAAAAATCAGAAAATAAAAATCGTCGATTTCAAAACAAAAAATCAGAAGAAAAAAAATTCGTCGGGAGAGAGAAGTCGATGAAGAGAAATTTGTATCGAAATCGACCAAAATCGTATAAAATCGATCGAAATCGAACGAAAAAAAATACATAATTGTGAAAAATGGAAGGATCGTCTTCATCTTCATCAAACGAGGAAGGTTCGAGTGGGTGCATATAGATTGGCCGAAAAAGCATATCTAGAGAGGAGAAGGACAACGGTTTCTTCTTCTGATATCGACATAAGTATTTTGACTAACCTTTCTTCGATTGGATAGGAAATTTGGTTTGGGTTTAACGTTTAAAAAGTTTGGTTGAGGAATAACGGTAGAAATTTGTTTTGGTCGTCCATTTTATGGGATGTTTAGAGCTCGATTCCAGTTTTCGTTGACATTATATTATGATTTTGTTTACCAAAAGCAGAATTCTATTAGGATTTTAACGATACAAATAAAATTTCGGTAAAAGTATATTTTAAATATTTTTACATGAAAGTAATGGAGTTTCTAGAAAACGTATGAATTATAAAAGAAGAAAGCATTTCATAGAACAAAGACATTTTAGGTATCTATTCCATATGAAAAAGAAGTCGTCTTTGAAGATGACTTTAATGATGATGTTCATCAACCGTACGGTGAAGACGGAGATGGATGTGTTAGTGTTGAACTCGCTTTGTGGTGTTTAATATGAGTGAACGTTGAACTCGTTATGTATTGTATCTTATGTGTAAGTATTGGTCTCTCTATATGTCCAAAAGAAGAAAGAAATCATTTCACGAAAAAATCTCAATTCGTAAACTCAGTTCATGATGTTTTGTATGTGTGAGCTCGGTTTATGATATTTTGTGTGTGTAAACTCGATTTGTCATGTGTGATTTGTGTGAACATTATGGTAGTATTTTATTTAGTATTGATCTTTGCAGGTGTCCAAAAAATGAGAATTTATATAGGACCGAACTTGTGAATATACTACCAAATATAGGAAGTCGTACATACTACCAAACAAATGTTGTAAATAATGAGTGGTAATTGTGATAACAAAAATGGTCGTAATTGAATCGTTTTTATTCGGGAAGTAAACGTGCATAAAAAAGACAAAAATTTAAAATAATATGAAAAGCCACGTTGATCAAATAACTACGAAAAGTGGGTCCAACCGTGAGGGAGTCACTAATTTTGTCTTGGAAATCGGCCACAACCACATTTTTATGACATGATTACGACTTATTTGCCACCATAAAGTTTTTGTAAATTTGTTAAAAAGACCGCGAATTTCGATTTGGTTTTGTTAAATGGTGATGAAATTCGGCCAATGAAGTGATATTATTCGATTTGAATTAATATTTTTAATAAATTTCAACAAATTTATAATTTTGGTTTATTTCATCTCATTTGGTTGAATGTGTTTGTTAATGGTTCATATACAATTAGTGTCACATGTTAAAAAATGTATAATGTTTTCATAAATTTGTGATTTGTGCTTAAAAACTCTTTCTTTTGATATAATTAATATAATAAACATCATTCATCAAAGAAATTTTGAGAAAAAAATATTTTACATCAAATTTATGTTGATTCACGAAGTGATAAATAAGTCGTAATTAAGTTGTAAAATGTTAGTTATTCTCGTTTTTCGAGATATCAAACATTTGACTTTTTTAATAATTTACGATTTTGATTTGTTGACGTTTTGACCCTTTGACTTCATTTATTTTTTGATAGTTTGACATTTTGATTAATGTTTTGATTTTTGGACTTTAGTTATATTTTGACAGTTTAAATATTTGATTTTTTGATTTTTTGATTTTTTGACTTTTTCGACTACTCATTTAACATATCTTTTCTGTAACTTATACATTGCTACTTATCTACGACCATACATGATTTTTCAAAAAACGTACAGACTAGTTAATTCATCCCAAAATACATCCAAAAAATTATAAAAAAATCAAATCACAATAGCGATTCAATCGCTTGCAAATAAGGTTCTTCCCCAACATCATAGACCCGGAACACGAACTCCTCTTTCCAAATAAGGTTATTCATGTTTCTAACAACGGTCATCTTTGATTTGTGCTTTCCGGTTTTACGAACGTATCTTCCATCGGTAAGTCCTTTCGCACAGTACGAATCCGTAGACACGACCAAAATCGATTTTGATCGGTTGGAGGAGTGAAAAAACGAAATGGGTGCATGAAAAAAAAATCAAAGTGGGTAAACGTGAAGCTATGTTCAGTGAGGAACAAAATGAAAGAAAGTGAAAGAAAATCTTAAAATCCAAATAGAGCAACAGAACAAGACTGGATGAGAAAGAGAATGAGTGATTCTGATTCTGATGGATCGATTAAGATTGCACAAAAATTAGAACAAAAGAAGATTTTTTTTTTTTGTGAGAAAATAGTTCTCTTTTTTTTATATATAAAATAGAGAAGAAGAAGAAGACAGCAACGTGGCAGTGGCAAGAGAGAGAAAATAGTTCTTTTGTTTTAGTAGGTTTTTTAAATCTAAATATAAAAGGTTATTTTTGATTTTTTGTATACAAGGTTATACAAGTCATTTTACATTAAATGAGGTGTAGAATTTGATAAAAAAAAATTTAGATTTCCTGGAGTGTATCCATGAAAGACATGCGACAGGTTAGGTGTATTCTTGAAGTTTGCCCCTTTGAGAGCGCGAGAGACCATGACGTAGCAGTGAAGAGAGGGATCATATGATTTCAGATTCATATAATTCCTGGCTGGGTTAGTGAACAATCCTATCGATATCAGGAGGAGGGTAATAGTTCAAAGTTTCAAACTTGGAGGATTCTTCATCAGAATCCCAAAAAAAAAGTTTAGGGCTTTCATAGGTTTCCCACCAACTTGCATAAATTCCAGATCTTCCCAGCTTAGCAAGCCCCTCGGGAAAATCGAACAAACTCAGGAAATTCATAAACAAATGACCATACCGTGGAATCCGCGGAAGACCAAGAGGAGGGAGGGCCACTTGTCAAATATTCTCTGTTGGTTCTTTTCCAAGTATTAATGGTCTGAGAATACTATGCCACCGTACATAATGTTCTGTTTCATTGTTCTTTTGCAAATGGTAGACAAGAATCTTGACACTTGAGAGATTTCAGACACGATGGTTTCCTCCGATCAACTTGTGTTCCTGATTCTGTCCACCGTGGCTTTCCTTTTAGTTGCAGAGAGTTGCAGAACAATAATGTCAGACGAGGAGAAACAAGAGCTGGTGAAGCAACTCAAATGTGTCAACAAACCTGCAATCAAGAGTTTCCAGGTCAGCTCACCTGTTTACACCTTCTGTATCATCATGTTCTCACACTTTCATCATTGCTGTATCATTGTTGTGCCTAATTCGATACAAGTAGGTATATTAGAATCATTTTTCTATTCATTATCACATCAAATTTCTGATTTGGATTTGGACAGACTGACCATGGTGATATACTGGACTGTATCCTCCTTCACAACCAACTAGCCTTTGATCATCCTCTGCTCAAGAATCGTTCCGTTCAGGTTTCATTTTCATAGCTTAGTTCCTTTCTTCCCTCCCCGTCTTCTTGGTCAGTGATGGAGTCTTTAGAAATTATGTAAAAAGCTCCTAGAAATACTTTTGTGAGTGATTGACATACTTGCAGATGAGGCCTGCAACTATACCTGAATGGATCACAGACAACAACAACACTTCACAGAAAAGCGGTTTCTTGAAGTTTCTGCAAGGTGGTATAAGTTGTCCAAATGGGACAGTGATTGTTAAAAGGACTACAATGCAAGATCTTATACATGCGAAATGTCTGAAATCCATGGGACTAAACTACCCGAGATACGTTCCTTCAAAGGGCAAGAACATTGATGTAGCCGGTCATCATGTAAGAACCCTTTGCAGCTTTTACATAATTTTAATCACGTGGTGGTATTGTTCTTGCTTACACGCTGAGAAACATCGGTTCTTGTTCTCTGTCAGTGCCTGTGAACGGTTTTGAGTTGGAACATCTTTACGGTAACATAGTTTGAGACTCATTTCTGTAGCAATGATTCTACCAGTGCTGATAATATTTTTCATATCTTCCTTTTTGTTCTGTGGATTTTAGTTTGCGGTGACTGAATACAGATATCTCAACTACGGAGCAAAGGGAAACCTTAACATATGGGATCCGGAAGTGTTGGCTGATCAATTTAGTCTTTCATGTTTGTCCATTGCCGGTGGCCCTAAAGCACAACTCAACAGCATTTCAGCTGGATGGATAGTAAGTCAAGCTCTGTTTTTTCCTTCTCTTGCATCATCTAAACTTTACATAAACCAATTTCAGTGTACACAATATCACTTTTAAGGATGAAAGTTTGAAAATTTACCGGAACTCATGTTTCGAAATGTCGTTTCAGGTGAACCCGTGGCTGTATCTGGGTCACAGTCGCTTGTACACCTACTGGACTGTCAGTTTTCAGAAAGCCCTTGAGGGCCTTACCTTAATATTCTGGAGTTTCTCTGGTCATAGTGCTATGGCTCATGCAGGTTATGCGGTTGTAACCCTTTGTGTAAAAACAGGCTGATGGATTCAAAAAGACTGGCTGCTTCAGTACACAGTGTCCTGGATTTGTGCAAGTCAGCTCCAAGATTCCACTTGGCATCCTTATAAAGCCGGTTTCCAGTTACGGCGGTCGACAATTTGAGATAGACATCAGCATGCATCAGGCAAGATTCGGTTACTTGTTTTCATTGGTTTACCTTCAGTCCAGAAAGTGGATTCAACTCCATTTCAACGACCTTTTTTCTGACATAATCGTCTATCTTTCATCGAGTCTAAGCCGATAGCAAGTCATCAGAGATGTTCATCCCTCTACTTTTTTCAGAAAGTTACAGTTCTATGTTACACCCTCTAGCCGGCTGCTGTATTTGATAGTGCCTGTTAATGCAGGATCGTGCCACGGGAGACTGGTGGCTCGTGCTGAACGACGAGTACATTGGCTACTGGCCAAAGTCATTGTTCACAGCCTCAGGCTTAGCTGAAGGAGCATCTTTCGTATCATGGGGAGGAGAAGTGTACAGTCCAGTGACAGAGAAGAGCCCGAGCATGGGCAGTGGCCATTTCCCGGACGAGGGTTTCAGAAAGGCGGCGTATGTGAATGGTCTCAAAGTGATTGCTTCCACAGGACAAGCTATAACTCCTACATCTTATTCCCTTAAGACATTCAGCGACAGTCCAAAGTGTTACAGAGCAGAATACAAGCCAGCTTATGGTGAGTGGTCAAGTGGTATCTTCTATGGAGGTCCTGGAGGATGCACATTCTAGGAAAAATGTCTTAACATCTTTATGAATCAAACCCTTTTCTCTAAATAAAATGGTGTTCTGATTTGAATCGATCTTTCTTGAATCGTTCGGAGCAGAAATATATCCAAAAATCTTGTTCTGGGTAAATTCCAATGTATGATTGTGGTTAATATTGGAATAAAGCTGATGTTGACATCCACAACTGTTTCAGACACTTTCTAAACAGCAAATCATACTGTAACCAAATTGTAGTGGTTCATCATCATCATCATCATCATCATCAACGTCATATATTCTTTCCAAAAATGTAATTCCGGCATAATGATTAGCCTGAAATCTGCTCTTACTGCTACTAGATTTCTCCAAAGCTACTTTTGTTGTCTTAATAATAGCCCCTATGCATATCTAACTGCCAGCCTACAAACCCTACTCTTACCCCTAAAACCTCAAGAAACTTCTTGTCTGAGAGAGATTCACTTATAAAAATAATGTCAGAGCTTCAGAGTTCTCTGCAACTTCCTGTGTTGGATTTGACACAACCTCTTCAACCTTCTGTTCTGTTGTCTCTCTCAAAGGCCTGTCGAGAGTGGGGATTCTTTTATGTCACCAACCATGGAATCTCCAGAGATTTGTTCAGCAGAATCTATTCCTTGTCCAAACAGATCTTCAGTGTTCCTCTTGACTCGAAGCTTAAGCTTGACCCTTTCTCTTCTCTCAAAACGTACACTCCCCGTTTCATCGCTTCCCCCTATTTCGAGAGCCTCGTAGTCTCTGGACCCGATTTCTTTGCTTCAGCAAAGGCTTCTGCAGATGTGTTGTTCCAAGATCATAAACCAGAATTAAGGTTCTCACTGATTCAGTCCACTCTTATCATTTTCTGGATTTGCGTGTGTTGCTTTGTAAAATATAGAACTCTGGTGTGATCTCTTCTCTGAAATAGAAAACTAAACCGGGTTCTTTCCTGTTCTTGTTTAAGCGTTTCAAGGCCAAGTCCATAGCACTATCTTCTGTATCTTTTATATTTCTGATCATTTCATGCTTTTCTTCCTTCTGTTTCTCAGCGAGAGTCTGCAAGAGTACGGAACTAAAATGGCAGAACTATCGAAAAGAATCATAAAGATTCTCTTGATGACCCTAGGAGATGATGCCAAGAAGAGATTTTACAAACCTGAGTTCGATAAATGCCACGGATACTTGCGTGTAGTGAACTATACGCCTCCAAAGGACGTAGAGGACAGACAAGAACCAGTGGAAGGGCTCGGAATGCATACAGACATGAGCTGTGTAACGATACTCTACCAAGATTCTGTCGGCGGCCTCCAAATGAGATCCAGGGAAGGAAAATGGATCGACATAAAGCCATGCGAGGATTCTCTGGTGGTTAATGTCGGAGATCTGATGCAGGCTTGGAGCAATGGACGGCTGAGATCTTCCGAACATCGGGTTGTGCTCAGAAAGCTGGTGAACAGAATCTCTCTGGCGTTTTTTCTGTGCTTTGAGGACGAGAAAGTGGTACTTGCGCCGCAAGAAATCGTGGGCGAGGGCAACTGCAGGAGCTACAGATCGTTTGTCTGCTCAGAGTATCTGAAGTTCAGACAGAGCAATGAAGTGGGGAAGTTTGAGAAAATCGGTTACACTGTGAAAGACTTCGCCGGGATAAAGCCTCAGCTGCTAGATCCTTAAGGTAGGTACGTTTACTGGTTTTCCGGTTTAGAAATCGCTAAACCGGTTCTGTTTTACGAGAGGAAAGAAAATAAAAACCGGGATGGGGGGGGGGGGAGAACAAAAG